TGTGTGTGTGTGTGTGTGTGTGTGTGTGTGTGTGTGTGTGTGTGTGTCCAGGGAGGGGGAGGAGGCGCCAAGGTGCAGCCTGCGTGCGGCTCTGCGCCTCGGCTGGGCTGCGTGCGTGTGTCCCTGTCCGCGCTGCTGAAACGGGCTCTTCGAGGGATCGGCGTCACATGACTCCGCCTGCCCCTAGCCAGCGCGCAGACCGCCCGTCCCTCAGTTTGCTGGGGGAGGGTCGGTCGACATCTCCCGGGGCCCTGGGGCTCTGCGGAGACGAGAATAGGTTCCAGCAAGGAATGTTCCTTCTAGGTTCAAGAAATCCTAGCTCGGCGCCAGGTCCTGGAGTGTAAATCTTGAGGGGGTTGGGGTGGGGGAAAGAGAGGGAGCGATCCAGCGAGCGCCAGAGAGAGAGGCAGCGCTGCGCGCACCGACGAGGGGCTGCCGGGTGCCGCGCGAAGAAGATGTAAGCGCGTGGGGTCTCGCTGGCCTCCGAGCACCATGCAGAAAGGGATCCGGCTGAACGATGGCCACGTCGCGTCCCTGGGACTGCTGGCGCGCAAGGACGGCACACGCAAAGGCTACCTGAGCAAGCGGAGTTCGGACAACACAAAATGGCAAACCAAGTGGTTCGCGCTGCTGCAGAATCTGCTCTTCTACTTCGAAAGCGACTCAAGCTCTCGGCCCTCGGGGCTCTACCTGCTGGAGGGCTGCGTCTGCGACCGCGCGCCCTCCCCCAAGCCCGCGGTCTCTGCTAAGGAGCCGGCGGAGAAACAGGTGAGGGAGCTCCACGTCCTGACCTCCCGCGCCCCTGCTGAGGCCCTGCGGGTTCAGGGCCTTCCACCCTGCTTCGGTGACCGAACTTTGACCCTTCTACTCTAAGCATCTAGGGCGCGCTCAGCATCTTCCACTGGCAGGACCGACTGGACCGAACTGGGAGGGTGACCCTAGGGCGGGCAGGGACTGCGGGTTGGGCGCTGCTAGGAGCTGCAGCCGCCCTTGGCGGGGTGAGCCCCGTAGTGGGCGGGGACAGGGAGGCTGAAACTTGGAGATACCGATGGAGATGGGGTCCAATGGGCCGACACGGGTGAGAAATCTGATCAATGTCCGACCCAAAATGGTGCCCCTAACCCCATCCCCACCCCCACCCCAGCCTTAATAGCCGTAATCTTCTGGCTGAGACGTGGAATTCCTTGCATTTAGGCTTGGGAAGGGTGAGACAGACGTCGGAGCGTCGCCGTACCTTGCCTTCCGCAGTTAGGGACGAAGAATAACCTGTGCTAGCCTGGCCGAGTTGGGGATTGCGGGGCCTGGGGGGAGGGGGGTCGTTTGTGCGATCGAGTGATGGTGTGCAGCTCCCAGCTGGTTCTGGCACCGCTAACGAACCCCAGGGTTCCAAAGACCGCTATGATGCGCCGGGACCAGGGCCAGGGTTGCTGCGGAGCCGTGGGACAAGTGGGCTCTTCTTTCCTCCCCCCGCCCCCTGCGCCGCCGCGTCCGCCGCAGTCGCCGCTGTAGCGCCTCGCTCCTTCACTCTCTCGCTGGCGTTGCCCAAACAACAGGGCTAAAGGGCCAGGCCGCGATCTGCCGTGGGCCTGGACCTGATAGAAGAGCATTGAGGGAGGAGGGTCACCTGCAGCCTCCCAGTGGGAACACTCAGACAGAGAAAGCTATCTTTAAGCCTGATGTCTCTCCCAAGGCATCTGGTCCCTGGCCTCTAGGAAGAAAAGAAAAAGTACATGACAGTGTATCCAAAAATGTCATCACTGGGAGAGGCCTGGCATCCATGGGGCTCAGCCACCTGGCTATTGCCTAGATGGGGACACTGAGGCCCCGAGAGAGAGTTATATTCTCTTTCATGGTGTCATAACAAGAGTCAAGGTTCTGGGAAGACAACCAACGGGGATCTCAAAAGCATACAGCCTGGTGGCGATTGAATTGACTGGGATGAAAACCTCCCTTGAAGTCTCCTCCCTAATTAGGACAGAGATCTGCACTGGGTCCCTTCAGCAGTCTCTTTATACCTTGCACTCAGCCCCCAGTGTTAGGTGACAATTTCTGAGGGCAGGAATTTGGGGTAAGAGGGAAGACTCTGAATGACCAATCAGGAGGCCAGGCAGGGGCTCCCAGATGGCAAAGACCAACAGTTCCTTTAGCTAGTAGCCAAGTGGAGCCTCCTGGCTCAGCTAGAACAGTCAGACCCAGGCTGCCAGCCCCTTTTATCCACTTGCTGTCTACAGCCACAGCACACCTGTATCTACCAGGTGACAGCACCCTCAGTCAGGGCTCCCTCCATGTCCCAGCTCCCTACATCACAGTAGGAGCTGAGTTCCTGGGTGGGAAGAAAGGCAGGAGGAGCAGGGGAGCTAAATTGGTTGAAGTCCAAAGCATCTGCTCTCAGGTTCCCTGAACTAGAAAACTGACAAGCTGGAAGCTGAATCTCAGCTGAATGGTTTCTGGGCTGTGTGGCTTCGCTTAACATACAGGCGTCCTCTGAACCTGTTTTGAATACAAAAGGTAATGGCAGGGACCTTCCCTAGGGCTTTGGGAACACACAACCAAATTATGTGTATGAAAAGATTCTCACAAGACAATTAAGTGGGATCCCAGCTGGATTAGAATTATGTCAATCCACTTTTCCCATTTCTTTTAGGTTGAGAAACTGAGGACCCTAGACAGACAGGGAGTTGCCCAACATCAAGAAGTCTGGCAGAATAAGACCTAGAATTGACCCAGTATCTAAAAACTACTAAAAATAGGGTCCCACGTTGATCCAAGTCAGTCAGCTCTCATCTTGGATACTGACCAGGGGACAGATGGGACTGCAGGCCAGTTAGCGTCCTGCACACATGTTCTGAGCCATTTCCCAGAATGCTCAGTCACTGGGGCTTATTAAGAGAAGAGGGCACGTGGGGAACAACCGGTGATGATCTACTGTGGCCCAGTTGGGCGGGTTCTTGTTAAAGACCCCTGCTTTATTCCACACACCCATATCTAAGTTCCCTTCAGCTCCAGAGTAAGTTTAGCAGCTATGGAGTCATAGTTCCCACTGCACTGACCCATTCTTGTGTCAAAATTCATGCCCATCCCCCAGTTCTTTGGTAAAATCTGTGGCCCTCAGAGCGGCTTCCCTGTTTCTCTTGGGAGAGCACACCCCATAGAAAAAAACTGGAGAGTAAGGTGATAGACGCCTCAGGCCACTCTGCGACCAAGTTTAGACCGACACCAAACCTTGACTTCATGCTCACTGGGCATGTGAAAGCACCCGAATCAACAAGCCTAGAAAATGCAACCAGCTTGGCAAGACTAGCTGGTGGTATCTGGTGGAAGTCAGTTTTAAGGGGACTTCATTTTTGTCCACGTCTAAACCCATAGGAATGGAGCCTGAGCCTGAGCGGGGGATCGAGCAGATGCACAGAAAATACTTCTTGAGCTGCACATGTCTGAGGTGTCATATGTTGCTTCCATACTGCCGTGTCCCTGAGGACTGACTGGGTGCTGGGCACTAGGTCTCAGAAGCTGATGATGCAGATATGCAGATGCTGGGATCCCAGGGAAGATAAATACAAATCAGGAGGCATACCGCACCCTGTGGAGACGTTGGCCTGCTGGATGGCAAGGTGTTATAAGAGCCCAGGCTGATCTGGTGCCATCTCACCCACTGTACCTAGACTGGTCGGACTATGTTTAAAGCAAGAGGATTTTTGTCCCACACTGGCTCTGGCCTGGGTTCCCAGGGTCTCCTGAAATGACATAGACACATCTTGTCCCCCACCCTCCTTGGCTGTTGCAGGGTACCCCTCCACTCAGGCTCTGCTTACACAGCCCTGACTTCCTCTCCTCCTGTCCCTGAAACAACACCCCAAGGCCTGGGTGATATGAACTCAGAGCCTGGGTTCAGCATGCCTAGAGATTGGCCCTGGGGGCTCCAAACCCTGCTTCTGAATAGAGTCATCCACAGTGGCTTTTCCCAACCACCTGAAATAAAACTTCTAGTGCCAGGTTCTTGGTAAGAGATCTTTCCAAACCAACCCCAGTACTGACTGCACTCCCTCCAATCAGGAGGGCCCAAATGTGGACAGAAGGTGTCTTCTGATTCCCTAGAGAGGGAAAGGATCCACGCAGATGCCAAAGCCTCTGAACCTGATACAGGCTTAGGTTCCATGAGCTGGGAACCTCCCAGGAATAGCTCTCCTCCACCAGGCCAGTGTTATTTCCTAAATGAAGTGCTACTCAAGGTCCTAATCTCTAGGGAACATTCCTGGTTGCCCTGGTAGATTGAATGCACCAGGTTTACAGGTGAGGAGACAGACTCCTCAATGGCCACTCCCCATAGCAGCAAACATGAAACTCGCTGCTCTGGCTTCCCCTCTCCGCAGCTATGCCAGCCTCCCCACCCTCCAGAGCTAGAACCTATTAAACTCCTGCACCAGCCAGAAAAAAAAAGTAGCCAGGGTGTGAGAGAATGAGGCTGCTGTAAAGGCAATACCCTTCACACCCAGCTTCCTGTGGTCTGAGCAAACTACGGCTGAGGGCAGCTCCAACTCGAGGGCTCCTGCCTGCAGTGAGCTGGCAAGGCTGAACTGAGGTGCCAGCACATATGGACACTGGCCCTGGAGTCACTATGTGGGCACTCTTTCACCCACCGTACCTCTCAGCAAAAATAAGATCCGAAGTGGCTCCCTAAGGATGCCTCTCATAAGAATGGGACAAAGAAGGCTCCACTCCCTGCCACATGCTTGCTGGCAGTAGGGCAAGGGTCAGGGAGAGATGATATGTAAGCCTAAGCTCAAAACCTTACTGTCGTTGATTTGCTCAGGTTGGCGCTTCACACTGAGCCAGGTTCCAATCCCACAGGTGCCAAGGAGAGGCCATTACACTCTAAGCACTCACAGAGCTGTGTCCCACACAGTACCCGCCAAGGACAAGAAATCCTGGCTCCCTCCCAAAGAGCCACAAAAGGACTCTCTCACCAGCCCCTCTGTGATTAGGAACTCGGCTTCATCTTATCTCCATCCACCGCATCCTATTCCAGGTCCCCCCTCTAGGGAACAAACAGTCCCAGTGTTCTTTTCTTTTTGTATTTATGTCACTTTTAACCTTTGTGATTGACACATAACACTTACTATTTGCACATATTCATAAGCTATGATATTCAGTTCTGATTTGCTTCTACATTAAGTGTTGATCAGCATAGAGTAACTGCTACATCCATTACCTGGACTTTCAAATCTCTTACCCAGAGGGCATTCAAAATCCTCCTTCTGCCAGTCATTGACTAGATGATCCCTGGCCCGCAAGTCTGCTGACTCCTTTAATCTAACCCCATCACCCCTTCTCCCTCTCTTTCTTGCTCAGGTCACAACTCTTCATCCTCTACAGCCCTATTTCCTGCTCTCAAGGCACAGGAAGCAGCTTTTCCCTCTGACATAATGACTTTCACCCCAGCCCAAACCTGTGGGATGTGGCCTCTAGTCCCCTCACAGGTCTTAGCCTAAAAGTGACCTCTCAGAAGAGAAGACCTCTCTCCCCTATCCAGAAGCCAGTACTACCCTAGCTCCAGCCATGGTGGTGTTTCTAGCTTCTTCATTTATATCTGCAACTACAGTCCATGATTACTTCCTGTACTCGTCTGGTTGCTTAGAGATGGACGTTTCCCCCACCACCACTGAATCCAGATGCCAGGGCAGTGCCAGACAGCTGAGACAGGAATTGCACAACTAAGTACCCAGGTCACAAATGTGGAGCCCTGAAGGAAAGAAAGAAAGAAAGAAGGA